ACCCATATAGATGTCGTGCACTCCCCTGCTAATGAATCCCGTTTTATAAAAAGGTTTAAACACAGTTGGCATCCTTAATGCAAGGTTTGCAATAGCTTATTCTGGAGCTGCTTCGTGTTTATACAGAGCGGATCTAAACATGTCACAAACAGACTTAGAGCCATTGTGTGTGTGTTTGTGTAGCTATATAGAGGAGAGAATTTTTTTTTAAATGTATAAAGCAATACAATCTGTGTCGTGATGGGAGCATGTTGTACTGATGTGCAGAAGGCGGCAGTGTTTGGAAATGGATGATAGGGCTTGTTCGCCAGACCAGTGGATATTGGGTGCATCTCAGAGGTGATCCTCTCGACCTCTAGGATGGAAAGCTGACTATGTCGTTCATCAACTCACAGACCAAAGTTGGCATTGGCTCCAAAGGGAGCCTCCAGGAGGCTTTTTGCTCAGAGGTTAGACATTGTGACCAAACGCAGGGAAAGGGTCAGGCCTTTCAAAACAGAGTAGTGGGAAACTTGGCAGAAGTGGGTGCACTGTAAGTGTAAATATTTTAGTTTGGTTTGTACAGCACGATGTTCCTACCTTCATGTAAACATCCCCCACCAATTTACTGTCCCATTAAACTGTAGCTGATAATTTCTCTGTCATTTCAAACCCAAATGTTAGGAACTGGGTGCACGTCCACTTGATGGGACATTTGTTTAACAAAAAGTGGAACCATTGCACATACCACATGTTCTTATAGTTTCAAGTATGAATGGGGGAGGGATAGCTCAGTGGTTTGAGCATTGGCCTGCTAAACCCAGAGTTGTGAGTTCAATCCTTGAGGGGGCTATTTAGGGATCTGGGGCAAAAATCTGTCTGGGGATTGGTCCTGCTTTGAGCAGGGGGTTGGACTAGATGACCTCCTGAAGTCCCTTCCACCCCTGATAGTCTATGGGTACGTCTACACTACGAGATTAATTCGAATTTAGATAATTCGAATTTGGGAAACAGATTGTATAAATTCAATTGTGCGCGGCCACACTAAGCACATTAATTCGGTTTTTAACCACATTAATTCGGTGGTGTGCGGCCACACTACCCCATTAATTTTAACCACATTAATTCGGTGGTGTGCGGCCACACTACCCCTAATTCGAATTTACAAAATCGATTTTGGTGCTACTCCGCTCGTCGGGGTGGAGTACAGAAATCGATTTTAAGCGCCCTTTAATTCGAAGTAACTGGCTCCGTTGTGTGGACGGGTTAAGGATTAATTCGGATTAACGCAGCTAAATCCGAATTAAAGTCGTAGTGTAGACCAGGCCTATGTTTCTATGAAACAACAGAAGTTAGCTCTTAACTCGCTCAAATATTCAGATCTATAGCAATGGATTCAGCCCATGAGCTATATCAAGTAAATGGTTAATTCATCTAGTATAACAGCACTGTGATTCATAATGTAAACTTGAGGAATCCTTGATGTTTCAGTCACACATTCCTCTTAATTTGGCCATGCATTCTTTTAAAACTACAGTGCGCTAACTTAATAAAATGCAGCATGCAAATGCACAAGTTTTTGCCTTCAGGCATTTTAGGCATGGATGTTTCAGTGGGTGTCTTCTTTCAAGTGTATATTCTTTCTTAAATTATTTACCCTGTAAACATGCTTTGCATTTTCAAAGAAGGCTCTGGGCTCCTCATTCAGTAGATTTAGTTGCGTGTAAGGTAATAGAGATAAAAGTTAGCATATCAATTTTGCCATGCTAACTTATTAGCCTTTTGGTTTTTTGCAGCAGATGTTGAGCCCCATTTTTCCCCCTTTGGTAGTATCGTTCCCTCCCCCACTTTAAATTCCTTGCTGTGTTGCCTACAGCAATACCCACTGGCAGTGTCTGGCTGTGACAGTACTATAGGCTCCTCTACAGATGGGTCCTGCCAATGCCAACCATTGTTCTACCACTGTGAGCTGGCATGACTACGTGGTATCACTCAAACCCCCCTTTCCACTTGATTTTTTCTTTACTCTGAAGGACCGCCCTTGCCTATTGACTCTGAAACATGCTGACGCCCCAGAACTTGTGTTCTCAGTCTGAGCCACAGTGAACGGAACCTAGAGTGACCAGACAGCAAGTGTGAAAAATCGGGACAGGGGCTGGGAGGTAATAGGAGTCTATATAAGAAAAAGACCCCAAAATTGGGACTGTCCCTATAAAATCGGGACATCTGGTCACCCTAATGGAATCAGACTTCAGCATGTTCCCTGTTCTCTAACCCCTCCGCACGTTGTCCTGCTGCTGCAACACCTCTTCATCCATTTTCTTTGCAGCCCTGACCTCCTGCTACTCTGCATTTGGTTTAATTTTACTCCTGCATTTGAAAGTAAAATGGCATTTTAAACAAAAAAAGATATAAAATTACTCTTTAACTGTAGACTTGGCTAGTAAAACTATATAATGCTTCAGTGGAGGAGTCTTTTGATAACATCCATCCTATTTTATGATTAAATTGTTCCTTTTAACTTTTTTTTTTTTTTTTTCTGCACTGGGCAGACTAATTCAGAGTCCTAGAAATTGAACTTTGATATGTATTTCCTAGACTCACACTTAAACTGAACCTTTAATTAGCAGATAGATACAGGTGGCTGCATGTATAGCTCGGTGTCCTTGTGAGGAGGATTTTAGAGACGCGGGTGCAGATTAAGTAATCTTGCAATCAGGTGTGCAGCTGGAGAATTAGAAGTAAGACTTTTGGAAGGATCATTTTATTTTATTTTATTTTTTCAGCCTGAAATGATGAAACACAATTAACTAGGCCAGATACGAGTAGATGATTTAAGCATTCAGTATGTTATGTATGCATTTGCCTAACTATGCGTTAGATTAAGCAAGTTTCACCCCCAGTTAATCCTTTGTAAATTAGCATTATGGATGCCTTGGAGCCCTCATCCCACAAATAAAATGGTTGTCAACCCAGCTGTACTGAATATTACTTAAGGCGGAATTTTTTAAGAGTTTTCATGCTTTTAATCTATTTCACTGCTGAGTTTCAATTTTGCTGAGTTTCTTTTCAGGACTGATGAGGGTGACTGAGTAAATACATATTCTGGTTTTCATGCATCCACTTGGGCAAATCGTTTGTTATCAGGTGTTTTGGAGAGAATGTCACACCACCATAAAGGGAAGCTGTACATTCAGGTGTTACATTGAACTGCAAACCAGCAAGAACCAAAAGCCCTTAATTAGCTTTATTTTGTTAGACTGTTACATGTTTTTTTAAGAGTGAGAATTCCTCCCCGCCCCACCATCCCTTTGACAGAGTAAATATTGCCTGTTAAGTTTGAATTAGCTGTCATTGCCAAAGAATTAATGCTGTGGTTGAGCCTTTCTAGTGAGGAAGGGAAAAATAAACGAGATAGATCTTAGTTCAGCTTTAAGTGATAAATGAGGACAAAGCAGGCCATTCATCTCCTGCTAGGAAAGTGGACACAAGCACTAAAGCAGTTTTGCGGAAGACGTGTCAGCAAATGTGATCATTTTGTAACCTGTCAGGAGGATAGAGAGCTAGTCCTTTTAGAGTGTCACAGGGGAGTGTGTTTGTCTGATTTGACAGTTTTCATCCATCCATTTGCCTTTTTTTTTTTTTAAGTGGGGGTGAGTAAGGAGGGAAGCTGAAGTTGATTAAACTTGCATCCTTATATATTTATACATTTCAGTACATACTTTATGTGTATCCACTTAGGCTCAAACAAAAACCATTTAGCAAGGAAAACTCCCCTCTACTCTCAGGACTCTCCTCTTACCTAGTACATGAAATACTCTTACTTTAACAAACTGCATCGCCACCCCCTTTCAAATTTGGGCACTAGCCTGAATTTAACATATCACAAAGCATGCTGTACCTCTTCTTAGTGCATGGTTGTTCTTTGCTTGGTTGGACATTTATTTTCTTTTTGCAGTTGACCCAGCAAAAGAAACTAAAATGAACAGGGTGGTTGGGGTTTTCCCCCCTTGCTATTTATATCCAATTCAGATGATGTGTTACATCCAAGTATGTTTTGCAAAAGTTCCTGCTGCATGAATGGAAATATTGTGCTTCTGTGGAAAGGGGAGACAATGATATGAAATATTTAAAATCCAAGCCTTATGCCAGATGGATCCAAATTATAGTCTCCATTGTTAAACATACATATGAATATATGTATATTTGTGTGTGTGTATATAGCAGTTAATTTCAAGGAGAATCTGAAGTGATGCAATTTCTGTTTTTACAAGAGAGGTTGTTCCCAAAAAATGGCTGAATGATATTAGGTGTTTGTTCTTTTGGCATCTTTTTTATTATTACTGATTTCCATCTTTTTACTGCATGGTAAATGTAATATTTGCCTATTACCGTAAGTGAATGTATGCTACAGAGACAGATGAGGCTTTTATAACATAAGCTTCACAGTTTGGCACTTGCTTCTTTATATCATCCTTTTTCTTCAAAACTATCTTTTATTCTTTTCCCTTGGTATTTTGGTACAAGTAAGTACCTCACTGACATGTTTCCTTGGAATCTTGTACCTTAATGGCAAAATCTCCTGAAAATTAGCAAATTGTTCAGGAAGCAAGAGAGAGAGAAAGAAACATCGCAAAGGTTACATACTGGTTTAAGAGTCATTAGAGTATTTTTTTATTACAGACCACCCTGCCCTGCTTGGATTATATCACAATTTATTATTTAATTGTTTAAACAAGTTAAAAGTGAATTGTAACATGCTGTGTGATCAAATTATTAATTTGTTAAGATTAAGAACTGGTTCTAACAGCTGCATCAGCAAATACTTTGAAACATTAGAACTTGAGAGAGAATAATAAAAGCAGTCCAGAATATGCAGTAGTCTTTATAGGTGCTTAGCTGAAGTTGTGGGCAAATCTTTTATCTCCAAGATATATGTCTGAGACAGGTCCACCTTTTTATTGTTTTACAAATATTCTGCCATTTTATGTATGTTTTCCTTTTCTTTTCTGTTTTTTTAG